GCAGCTCCACGGGTTTGGAATCGAGGGCGTGGCTATCAACAACATAGAACATGTTCACGCGGTCTGTTGATGTTTGTTTCAATGTTTTCCATTGTTTTCCACCATCTTTATTCTCTTTCATTCTGTTTCCAGGTACGTGGCCAATACATGCTGTCATTTCCAACGTGGATTTTGCCCAGATCGAACGTGGGTGCCTGGCTCTGTGGAACATACGACATGGTGCTTGTGGAGCATTGTGGAGCTAGCATGCCAGATGTGAACAGACATGCCATGGCAATGTCGGACATGTCGGACATGTCGGACATGTCGGACATGTCGGACATGTCGGACACCTAAAGCATCCCAAAGCTGTGCAGGTGCCAGTTGCCACTGCGTCGGCGTTGTCCTCACCTTGGACGTGTAGAGAAAGCTGGCTCAGCGCTGACTTTGGCTCTTACATGCCATTACATGCCTATACTAGGGCCTATACATGTACTTACTGTACACAGACATCTATGGACTGCATGCCTCTTCTTCTGTTCCATCCATACATGCGACATCTTGCGATCGTGAGCGCAGTCTTTCACCCACATTCACCCTCCATTTTCAATGGCAGGTCCAAACCAAGAAACCAACGGAACCTGACTTTGGTATACTTTGGTCATGTTTGGTCCAGCTCAGGTGGCTGACTTGCGTGTGCACTATGGCACTGGTTGTGAATTGGGAAGAATGTGTGAGGTTCAGTCCTCAGTGCTTTGGTAGGGTGTTTTGAGATCTCCAGGGATCTGCAAGGTACTCGTAAGTACACTGAAGATGGAGGCAAATGGCATGCAGTGTTCAAACCGCCCCTGGGAGGCACTACCGCAATTGGCAACGTCAGCATGGAGTTTTCACGCTAGCCCATCGCGGGGAGGCCATGAACTTGCAATAAAGTCCAACAAGACTCACCAAATCTCACCAAGATGCGGAATGATCTGAAATGGCTTAGGACCTACTATCTGACTTGGGAGATGAAATAGTCTTGACAAGAACATCTACTTCAACATGTTGCGCATATTGGCGACATATTGTTTGCATGTCTATTTGCATCTATTTGCCATTTCTGAATGATTTCTGCAAGGCGTCTGCCGAGCATCGTCGTGATCTTCCAGTCTGAAAGCCTTGTCTTTCGTGCCTGGGTGCAGTTTCAGCAATTTCAGCGTGGCTCACATGGCCAGATACAGCACAATCTCTGCAGTGTCTGCAGTGTCAGAGAGTCACTGAGTTAGTGACATGCTCCGGTAGTGCAGAGGACCCGCTTGTGGTCCTGGTGTCCAAAGGACAGGCTGTGCAGCAAAAAGGGATGCACCAAGCAGGGAAGAGTCCAGACTACAGTTCGCTTCACTCTTGCTTCATTTCTCTGCTTTGGCCTTTTTAGGAGTCTGACTTCTGTGACAGGTAGAGCTTAGATGCATCTTCCGCTTCGAAATTCCTCCATCAGTCACTATACTTGTAAGAACATGTAAGAACATAATACCATCCGATAACATCCAATAACTATCCAATATTAGAGATTGGGACGTCTTATAAGAAGATTTTTATCTGCTTATGACACCTCAAAATCAGGGATTTTCCTCAAATAAGACCCTACCAAAAATGACATGCCCCAAAACTGACCCAGTAATAAGCAGATTCCAGGAATTTGGGAAAAGTGGTGGAATTGTGAATCTGCTTCTTACAGGTCAATCCCAAAAGGTGGATTGTTTTTTTCTTCTAAGTATGTATATATGATTATATATGAATATATGTACTCTATATATATATATATATATATGTGTGTGATAGTCCGCGATTTTATACAGCCTCTTGCAAATGAATGGTGATGGCCCTGCAGTCACTGAAAACAATGAGAAAATGATGAAAATCTATGTTAAAAAAAATGAAAACAATGAGAAAATGATGAAAAACTATGTAAAAAACAATGAAAACAATGAGACAATGATGAAAAACTATGTAAAAAACAATGAAACCAATGAGAAAATGATGAAAAACTATGAAAAAAACATGAAAACAATGAGAAAATGATGAAACACTATGAAAAAAACAATGAAACCAATGAAAACAATGAGAACATGATGAAACACTATGAAAAAACAGAATGAAAACAATGAGAAAATCATGAAAAACATTGCAAAAACAATGAAAAAATGATGAAAAGGTCTGGCTCGAGGACTTCGACCCAACAACGGCTGGCTCGAGGATTTCGACCCAACAACTGGCTCGAGGACTTCGACCCATCCACCCGGGGTACTACAACGGGGCACTACAACGGGGTACCACAACGGGAAACATAATGGAAAAACGAAAAATGGAAAAAATGAAAAAGTCATATCTATAATTTTTAAAGTTGTTAAATTGCTTTAAAACAATGTATGTATATAAATCGAATGAACAAAATGAAAATCACATATTTTTTTGGAAACATTTTTTATTTTTTTCACTCGATTTAATTCCAATAGAGTATCAAAATGTTTTAAAACATGCCTTTTATAAAAACAGAAAGAAAAGAAATTAAACAATATTTCCCCCAAAAAAATGCGTGATGTTCATTTTGTTCATTCGATTTATATACATACATTGTTTTAAAGCAATTTAACAACTTTAAAAATTATAGATATGACTTTTTCATTTTTTCCATTTTTCGTTTTTCCATTATGTTTCCCGTTGTGGTACCCCGTTGTAGTGCCCCGTTGTAGTACCCCGGGTGGATGGGTCGAAGTCCTCGAGCCAGTTGTTGGGTCGAAATCCTCGAGCCAGCCGTTGTTGGGTCGAAGTCCTCGAGCCAGACCTTTTCATCATTTTTTCATTGTTTTTGCAATGTTTTTCATGATTTTCTCATTGTTTTCATTCTGTTTTTTCATAGTGTTTCATCATTTTCTCATTGTTTTCATTGTTTTTTCATAGTGTTTCATCATTTTCTCATTGTTTTCATTGTTTTCATCGTTTTTTTCATAGTTTTTCATCATTTTCTCATTGTTTTCATGTTTTTTTCATAATGTTTCATCATTTTCTCATTGTTTTCATTGTTTTTTTCATAGTGTTTCATCATGTTCTCATTGTTTTCATGTTTTTTTCATAGTTTTTCATGATTTTCTCATTGGTTTCATTGTTTTTTTTACATAGTTTTTCATCATTGTCTCATTGTTTTCATTGTTTTTTACATAGTTTTTCATCATTTTCTCATTGTTTTCATTTTTTTTACATAGTTTTTATCATTTTCTCAATGTTTGAAATAAAATGGTGTCAAAACATTCAAGACCTGTAACTAGCAGATTGTCAATCTGCTTATTACCCCCCATTTGATAGGAGGACAGTAACAGGTGTTCAAAGGACAGTGTTCAAAGAAACCGAAAGGACCTGTAATAAGCAGATTAACAATCTGCTTGTCACACCCCACATGATCGCCATGGTAGATAAGAAGGCTCCAACACAACAGAGCATATTATGGGCAAAATCCAAAAGACCACCAAAATGGACAACTTTAAAAACATACATACATAAATATATATAGATATATGTGTGTGTGTCTATTTTTTGTTTATATTTTCTTTGCAAGGGTCAAGTCCCATTTTTTGGGATGTCAGGAAAATATGTGGACTTGCGAAAACAACACAAAAGCTCGGGCATCTCACTCAGATATGCTAGATGAGGGCACATGCCGGTTCACCGATGTTGAAGCCTTCATTGACCCTGATAAATTCCAGGGCGTAGCCCAATAAATTCCAGGGCGCAGGCGTAGCCCAATAAAATCTGCACGGTAACAATTACCTCAGTAGAAAATTAAACTGTAATAAGCAGATTTTGGATCTTTGGGGTATAAGGTATAAATGCATTTTGGACTGTAATAAGCAAATAAACCTCACGAGTGGTGAGGGTTTTGAGCAATCTGCTTGTCTGCTGGCAGTGGCATAAATCTGCTTCTTGGGTGTCCCCTTCTATATCCAATTATATACTGTCAAATGATTGGCCGTCCGCCGTCCGCATGCAAAACTGGCAGCTTGTGACAGAAGGGAAACTTGTAAAATAAGGTTAAAGAAACACAGGCAATTTACCAGTAAGTTGAGATTTGCTATGCAAGCTAGAGTTCAGAGCATGTTTTTGGTGTGACACCCCAGTTGCTTCGAATTCTTTAGAAGGTACATTGTGACCGAAATTTGATAGCCACTGTTTTGTTTGTTCGTGGTATGGCTCAAGCTTGAAAAGGCTCAAGCTTGAAGGGCATCCGGTAGAGAAATGCATACTCTTGCCCGAGTTCTCCTGCTTGGGTTGCTTTCGAAAGCTGCTGCCACATCACTGTGGTTGACAAAGTCTCCCCAGCCAACGGCCGAACATGCCGAAGTGCCAGAAGATGCAAAGGTCGACTTAAGCTTGCTGAAGCTCGAAACAGCCAAGGGGAAAGACAGTGAAGACTCGTTGGCTGAAGCCGTGGCGTACAGGATAGGAGAGAACGCTGACAATGATGACTTCCTCGGAGCTTTTCGCCATTAATTCAAGCAAACATGGCGCAAGCCTTGCTATCCCAAGGAACTACGCTGAAGCGAACAGTGCAAGGAGAATCAAAAAGATGCAAAATGAAACCGTGTGCCGGACCAGTGCTGGATTGTGGATGGGAGGTTTGTGATGAGACCACTCTTCACTGAAACAACCCCCGGTTTCATGAGCGGTTTCTGATGCATCGACCGGTCTCATCTCATCCTGCTATATCCTACTCAAATCCTTCCAACCTCAAGCTTCCAACGGCATCAATAAACATGCAAGGCCAAACAGCCAATATCAGCCAATAGACAATGGAGCATGTTCCGGCAGTTCAGTGGTAAACACCATCGTAAACAGAGTGCTTTGTGTGTATGCGATTGTCTATGCGGGTGAGCTCCTGCAAAAAAACATCATCTCTGTAGGCTGACACCTGGCTGGCAATCTCAAGCTTAAACATATTTTAAGAACTTCTAAGATATAATATATATATATATATTTGAAATCATTTTAACAGTAACAAATAAATATGTATATAAGTTAATTATAAATGTATATATAAGCCCAGTTTGTATATTTTTGTTTGAACATTCCTGGATTGGTTGATGGAAGCTGTATGAAGCAGGTGGATGCCATGAAGCAGGTTGCGGGATGTGTGACACGACATTGGATTGTGCTCAATCGCTTCTCCTCTTCACAACGCTGATCAGCTTCAATCAGAGGTTTGCTCTGATCAGGTACCTACAATAGGGGTAGAGGAGGAACATGCATTAGCTATATTATGTGATATTATGTGTAGTTGTTATAAGCAACCAAGCAGGTCCAAAGTTCTACCCAGATGCATCAGCTGCGCTCCTTCCACGAATGGGCGCTGATATTGGCACACTTCCAAGTGCGTCCGCGTAAACTCAAAGCACTGCTTTGGTGAAGACCATGAAACAGCAAAGCCTCAAATCAAAGTGTCAAAGAAGATCTCGAGGTGTAGATGCCCATGATAAACACGGAGTAGTGTCACAGGTTCGTCAATTTTTTAAACGCAATGGCATTCTGCACAGAGCTGTGGATGTTTGCAATACTGGTGCTCTCCGTGCTGGGGCAGATCAAGCACATAGAACCTCTTACGATGTTGGAGACCCGGCTTGTACTATGGATATCAACAGCTATGTATGGCTATCTATTGTGGTTGTTTTTCAAGAAAGTGAATGTGTGCCAGCCAAGATCCTATAGCGACACTGTGAGTTGGAGATGATTTACGATGCCAACTGATATCAAATCGATATATATATATTTACATGTCATATATATATATATATGTATTACTGACAGTATACATACATAGATATATATATATATGCATAAGTCCGTTGGCAATCAAAGGATGAGACATGTAGACATGTATCCGTTAGTTGGTTTTTGTATGTTTTTGATTGTTTTTGTTTCAAGTCAATCCTCAACTAAATCTGGGGTTGAAGCTCACGGACAGATTTTCAGATCTACATTCAGGTCATCTTCCAAGTTGATCACATATCGGACATATCAAAATTGTGTGGATTTCCGGCAGCAAACATCATGTCAACATATATATGTCAACATATGTCAACCATGTTGCTTGGCATGTTGGCATTTCAGGATGGAAACTCCACATCTGTCATCCGGAGAGAGATCCTGGCGTGGCGAAGAGAAGCGCACCAGAAAAAAGAAGACGAGGCGAGTTTTTTCTCCCATTTTTAGACTTGTCAAATTTGCTGTTTTCCCCATTGTTTTCAACATTTCAATCATTTTTGTGTTGTGGATTGGTTTGAATGCCCTTTTGAATAGTAAATGGATGTAGATGGGCTTAAGTGGAGGTACGTAAATGGATGTAAATGAGCGTAAATGACATTTCCATCCATTTCTGACTGTAGTGATATGTAGTGAAGGCCGCCAGAAAAGGAAAGTAGGAAGGAACTGAAAATGGAGTTCCATGGAGTTCCTTTTTTCGGGCATCCATGGGCCATCAACTGGTGCACAGATGAACCCAATGTATCCATATGTATCCCATGATATGCCATGGGCATCCATGGGCCATGATTGTTTTCCTTGGGTAGAGTCTTCTCATGCTTCAACCTGGCGATTGCAATCACTGTCTTTATTGTTTTATATTGTTTTTGCATCTCACTTTTGAGAAGCACGCGATTCCCTGAGAAGGCCTTACGGTCAAAAGACCCAAGGGGTTTGAAGAAGCTGTTCAACGAAGTCAAGAAAACAGGACTGGTGGACTGGCCAAGACTTCGTGTGTTGCTTTTGGAGTCACATTTTCGGCATGCGGCGTCCTGTTGGATATCAGAGTGCCACTTGCGGCGTTTCAGGTCTCATTATGTCTCACTCAAGAATCTAACTCAGGCATTTTTATCGTTAGGGGAACATAAGTATTTTATCTTTGTATGCTGGGGTCCCGGACCCCCTACAAAGTAATTCCCAAGGAGACTGCTAGTTTTGTGCTAGCTTAGAGCAGGTCTTCGAAACCTATAAAAACATGGGGCTGAGCTTGTGCCCTGGTAACTGCGCTCTAGGCATGGACTCAAGCCATGCTCCCGTTGCAGGCGGCCATCACAATACCATGACAACGACAAGCGTGGTCAAGTCTTTTCAACAAGAATCTCCGTAACATTTGAGGTGTGATGGAACAAAGTACTGTATATAGCCACAAGATGCCACAAGAATCTGCATTCCTGAATTTCCTGCAATCTTAGACCTGGCCTGGTGTTTAGTGTAAGATAGTGTAAGGATACATATGCACATATTATAATCCTGTTTGCTTTGTATACCTTTGTATGGTAGTGTCGGTAGTGTGTGTATTTTCCCAACACTCTGTGATTTGGAGGGTTCGTCAGAGCTGCTTGTATGTTAGAGCCTGCTTTGTTGCGTGAGGACCAAGGAGTACTGCGACTATTGCCTTTTATCTTTTTCATGATTCAGCTGTTGCCGTCAGCAAGAATGGCAGAGTGCAATGTGTTTTGGAGCTGGAACGATATTTCAACGATCGCTATTTCAATTCTATTGCATTGCCTGCGCAGCTTGCTCGACATTAAGCATCAAAAACATGGTCCGAAGCAAAGTTTTGAAGTCAGGAGAGCGGACAGATTTTGTGCTAAGGATAGCATAGGATAGCCCAGTTGCCTCACCAACTGGTACTTGTACTTGTACTTGTAGCAGGTACAGGTACTATGGTACTACTAGGTTCAACACGGTATGATGGACGCATACATCATGAGTCTTGGGGTGAGCTGAGCGTGATCGATTCATTGAAGAACGGTGCGCCATAGGTTGGCCCCTGCGAATTGATTCAACCCCCTTGAATACGACACACGCATTGAAATAGCAAGAAAATTCCAGGAGAGATGATTCAGGCATGTGCACATTGGCTCTTCCAAGAGCTAACCTTCCCCTTCGTGTAACTGTAGGCACCTAATCAAAATTGTGTTGATGGATTAAAAACAACAGATTGATTGTCGGCCTTATGCTGATTTCTGATCGGGTCCAACCTGCAAGCATTCCAACAAACCTCCGCCTCTGCCAAGAGCGGATTTTTCAAGTCAAGAATTCGAGAACACAAAGTGATGACTTCAATCTTGCGAAGCACCTGTCACCAAGGGAGGAGTTCAGATCCCATTGGTTGGAAGCTTTGCAAGTGGTTCGATCTCGCTGCGACTGTGATGATGGAATATTTCCGAAGTATTTTCAAAATGCAATTGTAGCCGCTTGCCTCTCCACTGGCAACACTTTATCGTCACATTGGCATGTCCCAAAAAAAGGCGACCCCAAAAATCCACAGGGCTGGTCGTAAGATGTCGCATATTTGGAAAAGCATTGGTTTAGAGTGAAGGGTATCATGATTTGGGGCTCAAAAAGAAGTTACTGTATTACCGTATCCAGATATCATCTAGATTCTAGATATTTCAAAGACATCTTTGCAACCGCCCAATCAGCCGAGGTTGGAGCCAACAATGAACACACAGCAAAGCGGGTGCAGTTTCCCAACATCGTGGAGGAGGTCCTTAAGATCCCAGCTTTACAATATCTCTACCGTCAGCGGGTGGGTTTTAGATGGTTTTATAGATGGTTTTAAGATTCAGAATACAGTATTCAGAAAGTGTGGTTGCTTTCTTTCACAATCTCCATGAACTGTCTGTATCATTTTAGTCTGCGCATGTCTGTGCTATCTGCGCTATTTCTTCTATGCTCGGTTGCTGACTTTGATTCATGAAGCACGCATCAAGGATAGGGCATTGGCATGTTGTGGATCATCATGCAGCACATGCGGCTTTGGCTCTCTATGGCTCTTCGCTTCGCTCTGCCATTGTCTTGTGTTATGACGCCCAAAGTTGCCTGGTGCAGACTAGTAAAGCTGATATTTTCATAATAATAATAATCAGCATGTAATTTAATCAATACACATGATATAGCCATGATATAGCCATGTTGGCCAACCAAAACTGCACAACACTTTGACCCTTTGACCTCTAAGGCGTCGCCTATTACGGGCGAGGCATGGAACTGAGGGAGCTGGGGGAGCTGCACTGGAACTTTGCGCACTACAAGAGTCTGGCCGTGTTCATGCCGGAGGTCAGCGGCCTCCCTGAGGCAAACACCATGTTATGTGAAATGCACCGAGAGCTTTGGAGGACTTTAGCAAAATTCTGCATTTTTAGAGTCTGACATTTATATATGATTATATGTATATATATATATGTGTATATATAGCATTTCTGAAATGCTAGTAAAAATATGCACCTGATTTTTGTCAAAGCGAGGCCCAATTAGACAAGTTGGGCCATTTGTCTATCTACACAGATGGGACTTTGTCACCTCAATTATTGTCACTTCAATTGTGAGCTCAAAGTTTAGATCACACATCTTGGCCACACAGTCAGGACAAGCTGAATTCATCTAGCACGGAATGGGTTGATATTCCCAGAATACACATGGGCATTTCGCTAGCGCTTGGATTTGCTGGCAAGCTCATGGGATATGCAGGGACGGCAAACGCAACAGATCACATGACTTCAGCTGTGGCAAATTATTTTAACTACGTCTCGCGCTTCGCTTCTGGTGTCTTGGAAACGAAACCTCATAAATCGATCCCCTTGGAGATCACCAAGGTGTTATGCGGGCCAGAAGAAGGTCACCGATCTCTCGCTGCCTCCATTCAAAAAGCATGGGGAAAGATGGTTTTGGACGCGATGCAGGATATCATGAAAAGCACCAACGCCGTGGAAACTGTTGATGGCATTAGCTTATCTGGTGGTTGTGACTCATCCTAAACTTAGACAGCTTGTTTTCTGCCCTTTCTATTGGCACAACTGTCAACCTTTTCTCTTGCCATTTCCAATGTTTTATACAATTGGTCCGTTGTATCTTTGTTACAGGCATTCTGGATGGGACAAGATAAAAAAGATATTCAGTGCCAGAACAAAGCACAGGCCCCAAAGGCGTTTGTTTGATGATTTCAATGGGAACGTTTTTGTTCCTGGCTGGCAAGGTGCCTTGAACGTTGTGGTGAACCAGGAGCTTTACGAGAAACTGGACGCTGCTGAGACACAAAGTGATGAGATCGTCTTCTGTTCGCAAGCAGTTTCTTTTGAAACAAACCCATCTTTCGAAAGCTTCTCATTCCTCCCTAATCCTAGTCGTTTCCAATTCAGCATGATGCTATGCGAAGTTAGAGGAATTGCCGATTGAGCTCTTGGTGTGCCAATTCTGTGATGCATTAGTAGTCCATCACAATCTCATTGCTGAACTCTTTGCACTTCCTCAAAGCATCTCCACACAACTCCCTTCATTACCAGTGCCATGGCCATTCCATTGCCTCAAGGCACCTTTGGCAGTCCATGTGCCAGTTGCGCCAAACGATGCGGGTCTCACTGTGGGTGCCTTATGGGCCTTTGAGCCTCCAATGAGGCCCCAAGCGCTTCAGTGTCTCGGCTCATCTCACGGGGAACCATCAGCCATGGAAACATAAATTAAACCACTGCTGGAAAGAAAGGTTCTAAACAATTCTAAACATTTCTAAACAGAAGGGTCTTGAGTCGGTCTTGAGATGTCTTGTACTTGTATATAGTATTTCCATGTATTTCCTGTATATTATGATATCATGAATCTGCTGCAAATTCATTCTCTTTGCGCAACGCTCGGATTTCAGAAAGACAACAAAGCAACAGCTACATTCATCGTGTGTTCTTTGCGTTCGACACGCATACGGCACGCATACGACACGCATTCTGAGGTACAAGGGCTTCCGGCTTTTTGACGAAGACATTTTGGATTCAGAAGCTGAAAAACGAGGCGCACAGCGCATCTCGCAGGTGGGTGGTGTGAATCTTGCCGAGAAGTTTGGGAAAGTGCTTGAAAGGATTTCTCTTCGATCCCAGAGAAAAGCTTTTATATATTGAATATTGGAGATTCCAAACACAAGACCTAGAACGGAATTTCATGGATTTTCCCTATTTCGGCAACCGGTTGCTTCAAATATGCTAAAAATATGAAAAAAAATATAGCAGTGATTTTAAATCATTGTGTATCAAGGCCGTTGAATGCTAACTTCGTTTGCCATGGGAGAAAGCATGAAAAAAACCAGCAAGATGAGGTACTGGTAAGAAAGAGAAAGACTTGCACTCATTTGCCATTCAGGATGGACCGAGTCAAAGTCATTCCTGCCGATCGATTGGAGGAATCTGATGTTTTTTTGATGTTTATTATTTCAGTCTCTGTCATTGTTTGAGAATTATCTGAAAACAGCATCTACTGAAAAAAAGAAAAAAGCATGGGAAACAAGCAAAAGACATTTGGACCTTCGTCGCAAAAGGTAGCCTAGGCTACCTGAGTTCTCTGCTTTCGCACCGTTTGAAACTCGGGAGAATGCTTTGGATTGAATTTTGGCCGTTACAGTATGAATGGATTCTTCACGTTGGCCCTCCCTTCAGAAAGGGTTCCCCTCCGCTCGCTCTTAAGTTTTATTACAACAAAGCGCCAAACGCCTCTGAAGGAAATATTCTACAACGGAGAATCTGAAGAATCTCCAAGAAAGATCTAGAACGACCATTAATTTCTCTGGTGTTTTTTTTTCAGATGATGCTTGCAGAAAATGATTGCAATGAGGAACTATGTGGCAGAGCTTTTGGCTGGTGGCCCTGCATGGACTTTGTCTCGAACTTCTTCAAAAAAGGCCAAGCCCATCATTGCAGTGGTCAGAGGTCGACAGGAGTTTGGTCCACGAGCATTAGGTCACCGATCCCTATTGGCGGTGCCGGATTCTATAGAGATTAGAGAAGCTTGGTACTGGGTTCAAGGGACTCGCTGACTTGCTTGTTGTTCCAAGAGAGCTTCTTCAACCACTGTATTGGACGGTGTTCCCAAGGCATCAGGCACAGGTTTATAAATGATGTTCACATATGTTCACCTTGATCCACCCATGGGTATCCAGAAATATCAAACAAAAAACATTGCAAAAATGTAAAAACAAATAGAAAAATAATAGCTGTTTTCGGAGCCTCAAGATGTTTTCTTCCGATGTGATTCGTCAAACATCGTTGCTTGTCGATTATCACTATCAACCAACAATTATGCGGACATCACTTTGCTTGGCAGCCTGGCTGTGTTGAGAAATTGACATGTCAAGTTAGAGGTGTCACTTCCTTTCCTTCGAAAGAACAGTCGAATTCACATTCAGAATCAGTCAGATGTCCTTTGCGAGCTTCTCCAGTGAACAAGATATCGAAACACTTGCTTATCAGGGAACATAGAACACAGGATGTCAAGGCTTCAAAAGCCAGCGATGGAAATTATTGACGCGCTTGGCTCTGAGGATCGCTTGAATCGAGTCAAAGCTCGGAAGTGGTATCGCCCGGTGGCACCAATGATTGCAGAAGAGGCTTTACAGCGAGTCTTTGGGAAACAGGTGCATTCACCCTACATGTCCATGGCCCCAAAAGTTCAGGACGGTTTTGGGATGTTTTGTTTTTTTTTTGATCTTCTTTTCGGTTGATTTTCAATGAATGTTACGCCACTAACTCATTGAAATTGAACTGTTCAAATCGAAGTTATGCTGCAAAGGACGGTTCGCTATGAATGTTGCTTTTCCGGCCGACCAACTGGTTGATGTCTTCATTCTTTGCAATTGGTCCCAAAGTGTCACACAGGATTCAAAGGGTAGTTCTGAGATGTTATGTGTTCAACTTGTTCAACCGTTGTTCACTTTTCCAGGATGAGGTGCGAGCCAAATTCCCGGCTATGGTGCACTTTGACGGCACTGCTCGTCACCAGTCCGTCAGCAAGAACGACGAGCCCTGGATTCACTCACTGCTCCATGCTGTTGCTTCGTGGACCGGACTTGCAGTGTTGATCAACACGAGCTTCAACTCGAAAGGAGCCAAGGGGTCAAACATGGGCGACGTTTATTTGCAGAATGTACTCGTATCATTCATGTAACAATGTATATACGTTGTATGTATGATATATATATATGCATTTGTACATTCTCAGTATATCACAATATATCACAATATATCAATTAAGAATAATTAAGATACGTATTGTTTCATCTTCTTCAAACGTTATTTTCAGTCGAATTTGAAAGGCATTGGCTGTGTTTATAGAGTTTTCACGTGTCCCGAAGGCCCAAACTCGACCCAACCTGTGGCACCTGTCAAGCTATCGGATATCGCGCCATGGTGCACCAGCTTTAGGTCATTGCCCACGGCAATGTTCCAATCAGAGCTGAAACATGCTGAAACTATAGGGGTTTATCTAATATGGTTGATCATCATGTTCCTCATTCAAGTAGCAATTTATGGGGTTTTCCCCATTTTCAGACAGACCCTTTTTGGAAAAGCTGTCAAGTTTCACAATGATGCAGAATCAAAATGCGATCAATTTGCAGTGTGTGGATGCCATTCTTACTTGAAATGATCCGCATTTTTTTGTCAGGAGATCCGATTGTAAACACTGTCAAAGAGTCCCTCCGGATGCTGGATGAATTGCCAGATCTAGACTATGTTATCATTGAAGATTACCTTTTCAAGGCGCCAGCAATAAAGAAGACACCAAGTCGACCAACGGAAAGACCTTTGGGAATTCGGTCATTCTAGATAAAAAACATATAGAAAATATTCTGAAACAATCAATAAATCCATAAATTGGTAGAGAGATACATTTATAATTGATATATTATATTATATTGTAATATATTATGTTCAGCAAAAAAGCGATGGTAACCACTGGGTCAAAGTGATAACTTATGCCGCGGTCATCTTCTTGTGCCGCAAACGGTGTGCCGTTGGGAAGTCCATGATATACATGTCAGTCTTGCTCCATTGTTTGTGGCATTCTTTTTTCTAACACTTTGCAGGGGCACACATGTTTCTGAGACATATTCTTTTTGAGATAGAAACTCATGGGGATGGCTTCTCAATAGCTTGACTCACAGAGAAGAGAGAACAGTAGAAGAGAAGAGGAGAGTAGAAGAGACTATATACAGAAGAGTAGAGAAGAGAATCGAATTGAAGAGTAGAAGTGATTAGAGAGGCGTAGAGCAGAGAATGGAAGATTAGAAAAGTTCCCTGCTGCCTTGCCCTGCTGCCTTGCCTTGTTAAAGCCCGATCTCGTACAGATCTCGTAAAGACCTCGTAAGGATCTCGTAAAAATCACGCTGTCAAGCGGTACCTTGAATATCTCAATGCCGTTGTGCTGTGTTGTTCAGTGCTGGAATGTTCCTGGTGTGCCACTGGGAAAAGAGTTTTGTGGGTTCTTTTTTCCCAGGGTAGGAATGAGAGTCCGCCAATGAGAATGACATGTAGAACTCCTGGTCTTCTAGAGGTCAAATTGATGGTGTGCCATGCGGTAGTGCGGTTTACAACGCTTTGTGTCAGGTTTAAGACAGATAAAAAAACGGTACAAAGCGTTACAATCCACAGGAATTTCATGAAAAAAATATACATATACGTGGATAGGTGTCGCTATGCCGTGGTAATTTGGCTATAACATTTTTTAGGTTATGGAATATATCATATGATAAGGAAAAATTATAAATTAAAAAAAATATTACCATCCGTATTCGTACCGATTTTGAGGGATATTTATATTTTATATATATTTTGATGATTGCATATGATCGAATAAATGGGCAAAAATTTATTAAAAATTCTTAATGAAATATATTCGAGAATTATTTTAAAAAAAAATAATAATTTTCCTGGGAATTTAGCTTAAAAAATACAGGATATAATATCATTAAAAAATTATATTCTTTAAGGGACATATTTGGCCGGTAAAAAAAAATAATTTTATTTTTTAAGGAAATTTTATTGTTTGACGGTATTATATTCTTTAAGAGGCTTTCCTTAAGTATTTAGGATAATGATGTTTTTAAAAAATTGTATTTTTTAAGGAATATACCTGGCTGGCAAAAAAAAATAAATTATTTCTTAAGGAAATCTTGTTGTTTGACGGTTTCCTATTCTTTAAGAGGCCTTC